TGCTTCTGCTACTTGCTGCTACTGCTACTGCTACTGCTACTGCTACTGCTACTGCTACTGCTACTGCTACGGCTACGGCTACGGCTACGGCTACGGCTACGGCTACGGCTACTGCTACTGCTACTACTGCTACTACACTTCACCCTGGAATCCGGATTGGCACCTGCGGGGTACTTTGTCAGCCACACGAACATCGTTTCCTGGATGGAAGCTGATCGAGGTTCTCCGGCGGGGTTTACGCTATCACAACTCGGACAAGCCAGGCGAGGTTCCCTAGGTGCAGGTCGCCGTGATACAGATTACGTTCCCTGACCGAGACTATACAGGAGGCTTCACCGATCCACGAAGTCAAACATCAAACAAAGGACACTACAACGACAGGACGGAGGCGGGGCTTCGGCGATCACACTCTGACAATCCAGGCGAGGCATGTGGCCTGGAGTCGGCGCATTGAAACTAAACAGGAAAGCAGGAGAACAGGCCAACACATTCTCCTATCAGCAGACCCTCCTAAACGGGCTTCAATGCATGGGGTTTAGGGGTTTGGGTTTTTGTTGCCTTAGGGTTTGTTGCACTACACCCTCCAAGTTCGATGGCCGAAAACTCGTGCATCAGAAGCTCTCAAGTTCGGTCTCCTGCGATGTTCTCAAATTCCGTGACTCCCCACGAAATTCCGTGCCAGGTTGGCCCAAGGCTTGGAAGGATCTGCTTCTAAAGAGAGCCCTGGATAGAAGAGCGCAGCATCACCAAGACATGCATGAAAGGACCCAAGCCATCCTGCCCTATAAGACCGGCAGCACCGCGTATGAGTAATCGTCGGCGGCGGTAGTGGTAGTGGTGGTGGTGGTGTGGTGGAGGTGGAGGTGGAGGTGGAGGTGGAGGTGGAGGTGGAGGTGGAGGTGGAGGTGGAGGTGGAGGTGGAGGTGGAGGTGGAGGTGGAGGTGAAGGTGGTGGTGGTCGAAATCGTGGTGGGGTGGGGTGGATGTAGAGTGCTGGTAGTCGTCGTCGTGGTAAAGCTTCAGGAAAACACTCCCATAAACACCTGTTGAGTCTTTGACTTCTGCGAAAATCCCATCAAAGCACCGTAAAACAGAGCAACCAACACACGTATCATTTTGGGCAGAGTTTCGCCGAGACCGCCTTGCAAACACTGCCTGAGGAAGATAAAGAGCGCCGTCCTCACAGGCAAGAAGGCCCGGGGGGTTGGATATTTTTTTAGGGCATCTGAAGCTGTGAATGCATCGTCCGTATTTGTCTGCTTTGCACAGGCTGTATACAGCTGTTTAGGGTTTTTATACCTATAGGGTCGTGTTTCACATGTAAGGACCTACTTGGGGCTCCTGTACGTAGTGGTACTGAACTTCCGACCTCTTTTTTGTTTGCACCCCTCCGTCTTCAGCTTGAACTTTAGAGAGACGGCTTCACCTAAAATTTCGCCTGGCCTCCCGAGATGTGGCGTGATCCTCAGCTTCGAAGAAGTGGCAAGGGTGTGGGGTGTCTGGGTGCTTCGGGCTACGGGGTTTAGAGGTTCAAAACACAAGCTTTGAAGGGCTTCATAGGAGCTTCAACAACCCAATCGGTCGTGGACATGAGGATTCAGCAGTCTGGTGTGCCATGGTGTTGGGCTTCCTACTGATATTGTAGTCCCTCTTCAGGTAAGGGGGTTCTTGATCAGGGGTCTATACTGCATGTTGGTAGGTTTCGGGCTTCGGTATACGAATATCGCCCCGAAGCACTGCTAACCATGGGGTTATCATGCGCCGGAAGTGATGAGGGAGCAAAACAAACACAGTCCTTCGGTGCTGAGTACACTAGAACAAAGAAGGTAAGCAGTGCTTTCAGTTTTGTGGAAGGGTGACATGTACCCAACATGGTTCCTGGACCCATAGCCCGCTTGCATATTCCCAGCAAGCAGCTCGGGCTTACCTACACAGCCACTCACAGGCTTGTGAGGATGCCCAGGGGCTCACAAACCGCGAAGCTCATGACTCGGAACAGTCTGTCGGTCATAGAAGCGGATCCCAGGGACCAGAGTTCAGATCTAGGCGTTGAGCTTATGCCTTGCTCGCCTCCCTTATATCAAGATTCAGAAGAGTCGGCAGGCAACATGAATCACATCTGAATCCTTGCTTCAGGTATCATTTGGCAAGGCCGGCATCTCAACAGACTCTATATGAAACCTCCGTAAACCATGAATCCTGAACCCTAAACCAAATCCAGTTCTAGACATCGGACATCGGTATATGAAACCTCCCGCAGCCCTAACTGTTGAACCTTAAATTGAATCCAGTTCCAGCCTTTAGCAACTGCTCTTCAGCATGCTTCTCTATGTCAACCCATGCTGTCAAACCCTCGGTGGCTGTTGCTATCGCTGTTGACGTGTTCAGGCTTTAGGGTTTAGTGTATTGAGAGTATAGCTCATGCTAGCGATATTCTTCTCATGGTGACTGTTATGCTGCCTGTCTCCTTTACAAGCACTGGCATTGCAAGCTTGATTTTTGCATTGCTGACTGACCTGAACCTCAAACCCTACATCACGTCTTTAATCTTCTTTGCTCAGCACAGCTTCTGCTTCAATGCTCGGTAAGACTGCACTGCAACAACAGCCGCGCAAAGCAGGGTGATGATGGCTCGCGCATGCGTGTTGGAAATCATCACCTCTCCACAAAGGGGGTTGAGGGCTTAGGGCCATAGAACGCATAAGACGGCAGCTGCAAACTATACCCTGTGGGTTCGCGGTGTAACTCAAGTGCGGGTCAAGCGCCAGGAATTAAGAATCTAGGAAAAGTTTCACGTCGACCTTTGGCCCCTGCAGGTGAAAGTCGATGACTGTGACTGCTCAGTTGGAGAAGGCGAGTTTGGAACATCCACGAACAACTAGCTGGTGTTTAAACGGTTTAGGATTGAAACAGCCCAGCGGTCTTCTGGATAAGGGCCTCGACATCCGAATAGCTTTCTGAACCTCCTGTACTCCAGCATGACTCCGGGCTTAAGGCTTACAGAGATTAGGGCTTATAGCTTCAACTTTTGGCACGTGTTCCACTGGTGCGGCTTTGCAAGGCGACCATCTGGACCCTTACCATCAGGAAGCTGCGAAAGTTAAAACCTTATTCTATTTAGGGCCCCTGATTTTACTACACCATGCAACATTTACATTCAGTAGGTGTTAGGGTTTAGGAGTTTAGGGTACACCCTTATCATAGTAGCCCTTCTAGAACCCATTGTTGCCTCTTGTGCCTGTATTTCCTGCCATGCACCGAAGCTCCCGCCCCTGCGCCTGGAACGACGACAAAAAGGTGGAAACGACAGTCATGAGCACAGCAACCTTTGCAGGTTCGAAGCTGTCGAACCGCTTCGATTTATAGAGGCCTTGGTATATAGGCCCCCCAAACACTATGGTTTTTGTTTGTTCAAGATTTCTTGTGGACTTGAGGACCTATGCGCTAAACGATGAGTCCATGTCGGTCATTTTTTTCTTTCTGAAGCTCTACCGGAAAAAATGGGGGGGGGGGGTGCAGGAGAATCTCAGAAGCTCCCTGGCCCGTTACCAGGCGAACATCGAAACCGACCCGGGTCCCAAATAAAACTCTGGCTGCCAGTGGGTTTAGGGTTAAGGGTTTAGGGTCGGTAGGGTTAGGGTTCAGGGGCCTGGGGATGTGCTATGTGCCGCCGATCCGCTGCGCAAGTTCTGAACTCAAGCAAGCCTTCATCATTAGAGCAATCCCCAGCAATGTCGTAGTCAACTGGCTACAGTCAGGCCCTTTTCTTGCATGCATGTTTCTGTTTGTGTCTACATGTCAATGCTGTTGCTGCTGCCATACTGGGCCCGAGCTTCGAATAAGCACACGAGGACCTACGTCCCTACGTGACACGAGATGGCTCGAAACCTATGCTTTCTTTATTTTTTGGAACCTTCGCAGCTGTCCTGGCGCACTTGCGCTTACGACGGTGGTCCGCTTGCGCTTGTCAAGTCGGCAAAGTGGTGTCCGGCACGAACCCGGCTTATAAGGGCTCAGGGTTGAAGGCTCTCGGGTTGATCCACAGAACCCTCAATCCTGTAGGTGTTTTCATGCCCCGAACCCTAGCCCTGGGGATTTTTCGCTTTCGAATGGCTGAGAACAATGCTCAAAGGCGAGGTCTGCAAAGGGCGAAAATGCTGCTGCAAACAAGCAAACGTGACAAGGTTGCACATGTCGCCTACAAGTCATAGGTCACCAAGCAACATCTGCTCTCCACCAACTAGAACTTTGTCCCCACTAAGCGTACCCAAGTAGCCAAAGCCAGATTCCCACAAGACAACCGTCCGCATAAGAAAATCTACCCCAGGTGCTGGACTGACCCTACTCACAAGGGTTTAGGGCTTTGGGTCAAACCCGCAAGAACAGCTGAAAGAGGAAATCTGGAGCCCGAAACAGTCTTTGACGAGCAGCCGCGGACACGGAGGGGTGCTTCCGAAACTGGTCCCTCGGATTCATGTAAGGTAGTACACTTCCGCAGGCGCGGCAGGGTGTAGTCTGTCTTTCATTGTGCTTGTCTGTCTCTCGTTTCGTCGCCGACACTCCAGCTCTTCTTCCCGGGTACTCTCTGTCTCTCCTTCCCTCCGTCTCTCGCTCTCTCTCTCTCACACTCTATTTATATGTACATATATATACATATATATATCTCTATCTCTCTCTCTCTCTCTCTGATCTCTCCGCCGAGCTCCGTCTCTTTTCTGTAACAACTGCATGTACGCATGCATCTGGAAATTGATGTAGGTATGCAGCTACATGTATGACAGCCTGCCTCTGTACATGAATGTCCAGCTGTGAACCCATCTTTGGGCGGATGTTTGTAATCGACTGACTTGGACAGACTTTAATGACTTTACTGTGCGGCGCTTCAATTGACTGCAACGCAATGCCATGTAACGCAGCGTAGTGTAGTGTAATGCTCCGGTACCTGCTTGCACACTTACTTAAAGATTCAAGTCCGTTACTTGTTGCACGTTCAATTGGTAGCGATGCACGCATACACACGTGCACACGTTCTACACAACACAGAACTGTGTGTTGCTACAGAAAGTCAGGCTGTGCTGTTCCGCAGATAGCTCCCTGATTAGCAATGAGCAGGATAGTGTTTCCGTGGTGCTTCACAGCAAGGACCCAGTCTTTCTTGTGTATTTGTCAGAGGCGCGGAATACACACACACACACACACAGACACCCACACACACACACACACACACGACGAGCCGCAGCAGCCCGCAAGTCTCACAACTTCTCGCACTCAGTCCTCCCTTTCCTGCTGAGTTTACGAAGCCATTTGGTTGACTTGTTGCTCAGATTCTTACTAGTACTAGTATGAGGCATTCTAGGGACTGGATCAGATCCCAAGTCGTAAAGTTACCCCATAGCCTTTAGCTTTAAGTCCCTTTTTTCACAAGGGACTCGGCTGCTGCCCTTACTGCCCAGCTTGACCCCTGAACCCCATCCCTGAACCGTAAACCCTAAACTCTAAACTCCCTAAACTCCCTAAACCCTGAACCCCATCCCTGACCCACAAGATTAAAGCTCCTAAGTGCGAAAAAAAACCTGCGATTCCGCAGGTTCCCCAGCATCTGATCCCCCGAGTGCCGATCTCAGAGGCCTATAAACCCTAAACGGTTGAGGGTTTAGGGTTTAGGGTTTAGGACCCTGAAGGCCAACAAAGGCACCCAAATAAGCAACCAAACTGTGACTGATGGTCCCTGGGTGTTCACAATCATATCAGAACTATCAATCTAGGGTTTAGGAGTTTAGGGTCTAATGTAGGGGCCTGAATAACCAGAATAGGGTTGTGGGGTAGATTATGCCATAATCATAATAAGGAACCCCCCACAAGTAACTATTGAGGCCCCTATAGTAGGAGGAACCAAGTCTAGCCCTAAGCCCTAAACCCCTAGACCCCTAAACCCTAAACCCTAAATGTCTAGACCCCTAAACCCTAAACCCTTATCCCTAAATCCTAAACCCCCCTAAACCCTAAACCCGTATCCCTAAACCCCAACAAACCCAGCTACGCTACGTACGGGATTTCCTTTGCCCAGTGGCAGCTTCACGTTGCAGCAGCGAGGCTCCGGAATTCTTTCTTCAGGCATCCACCCCCAGAGGGCGGGAAGAAGCAGGCTGACCTGCTCTACAAGGGTTTAGGGGTTTTAGGGTTTACGGTTAAGGGTTAAGGGTTTAGGGTTTAGGGGTTAGGGTTGATGGGTTATGGTTGAGGGTGTAGGATAGGGGTGTGGGGCTTCGGTGAGGCTTCTTCAGGATTTCCGTGCTTGACTGGTCACCATGGGACTTTATTGGGTCTGGAAGGTCCAGTCTGACGATGCTTGCGATGTCTGTTGAATCTAGCTCGCCGCGGCAAGCCATCAGGCTTATTTGCAGCAAATCAAATTCTTCTGCTGCAGCTGTCTATCGGCTTCAGGGTGGTGATTCTTCTGAAGTTGCGATCACGACCCTGTAGTTTTATGGCCTGTATTGAGGACTGAAGATTTGAGGATGGATTTGGTTCCACAGGCCCGTCAAAGTGCCTTACCAGCTTGCAAACGGATGATTTCGAGATTAACTCTGCCGTGCCAGCTGGAGAACGGATTCCGCGACTAAAAATGAGCCTTAACTGGATGGGGCAGGAGGCCCTTCCGAAAATTCTCATGATTCTCGTGGTTTGCAACGCTAACCCTTAGCCGGCCCTACTTTGAAACCAGGGCATCGGAGGGAGGTCCTGGCTGCCGAGAAGCCGAGCATGCCGTCATGCTAAGAAGCACTTTCTGCGGCGAAAACCATTCGACGAGCGCACCCTTCAAACTCGAGGACCTCAAGGCTCCACGACTTTCGGGAGTTTCAGGTTGTTAGGTGCTGCTTTGTTCAGCCTCTGTCGCTTGAAATTATACCGTGATACCGAGTTATGCCATGGAAAAATCTTTGTTAATATTTTTTGCGGCTCATGTGTTCGAAGAAAGTGTTAAGGCCCTCAGCTTCTGCCTTTGGTTGTAGACTTCTGTCAGATGCATCCTTTCGTCGGGATGCTCGGGTGAATCTAGGGTTTCAGCGTTTGGGGGTTGAGGGGTTCAGGGTTTAAGGTTCATGCAGGCTTTCGGGTTTCGGGGTTGCAGGTTTAGAGTTTGAGGTGCATGGTTGAGGGTCTTGGGTTCAGATCAAGTTTTGCTGTGTGGCATTTGCCAGCTCCCGGCATTTGCCGCAAGCCAGTCCCTTCTCTGCCATTTCCAGAACCAGATGCGTATGGTCCTACTATATATACATATATATATATATACACCATATGTACTATATCGTTCAAGAACAAAAACAGCAACACCAACAAGACAGCGAGCAAGGCGGGCGAACCCTGAACCCCGAAAGGCAGCTGGCAAGCCTAAATCCTGGAGTTCGATTGAACTCCTATGTGTTATTTTACACCCGGTCCTCAAGGATTAGGGTTTAGGTTCCAGACCCAACCTCAAACACCCCTCGCTCCCTCTCCTGCAAGCATTCGAAACGTCAAGCCTGACTGAGGGGCACCTCCAACGCCAAAAAACTAAAACGCAGATGGACAAGTCTTGCACTGCCTCGCAAACACCAAACGATGGGAACTGCGGTGCAGGCCTCCTGCCGGACATTGCCTCTCAACACGCCCCACTACAGGCAATGCGCCCGAACAAGTATAAGTGTATAGTATAAACCTAAACCTCCAAAACATTTAAAAGTTTGCAAGCGTCTACAACAGCTCATATAAAGCCCTGTATCGATTCCATCCTCAAAGGGTCCAAGTAACAGCGTAGAATATATATATATATATATATATACTTGGGAAATCCACATATGTACCCGGAGCCTACTATAGTGATACTTGGGCTTGGGCCCTGTGCGACTCTCCACTGGCTTTGGAAACCTGGGCCCCAGGCGCAAGACCGAAGAGAGCCGAGACGCCCCAGAACAGCGATTGCCTGAGTGCGCGTCTGCGGGCTTAAGGGCGAAGCCCTTAGGGTTTAGGGCTTAGGGTTTAGGGGCCCTAAGGGTCCATGTGCCCAAATAGTATATACTTGGCCTTAATGTAGTCCCTATATAGGTACTTTAGGGCCAATGTATATACTATTTGGGTACATGGACCCTTAGGGGAGAGTTTCTCCGTAAAACGTAGTCAACAATCCAAAGACGAAGTGTTCCTCCTAAAGAGCAAACGTCAGAATCGAGGGTTGGGCATTGGACTAGCATAGCTTGGGAGTCGGGGTTTGCATTGTAGGCTGCGACAAGGCTTTGGGGTCGCCTCTCAGTGTCATGCTACCAACTTTACTGCTTCAACGGGTGTCAATGCCTGCCTCAGGTGCAGAAACCACACGACCACGCAGCAAACAACCAAAGCAACTCAACGCCGCGCCTCCTGTGCAATCCCGAAGCACAAGGCAGAGCAACCGGCACACTTCTGGCACTCGTCACAGGGCTGTCAGGTATGATTAAATACGTAGCAGGGTTAGAGCTAAAATGCTTGCTCGTGCCAGGACTGTTTAAAGGAAATTTAGCATTATGAAGTGGCTACCCAAAGGCCCAAACCTGCATGAAACCCTCAAGCCAACATTTTCTGGGCCGAAAGCCTAAACTTGAAACCCCAAATCCAGCTTAAGACCTGCTCGACTCAAACCTGATGCCCATGCAGCCCAACCCAGCGTGATTCAGCTATTGAGGAAGGCAGCAGATCGGACGCATGTTTCGGCACTTGGCGCGAGAGTTCGGCAGCCTCGTCGAGCCGCAGCCAGTGTCTAGGGTTTAGGGTTTAAGGCTTAGGAGGGCTTAGACTAATAAAGGCCCCTCAAAATCGTAAGCAGGCCCCATATAGGAGCCCCGTTTCCAGAAAGCAGGCTGCTGCCCTACAGAACCGGAATGTCGAAACACATGCAGCATAGGGGTCTTAATAGTGACGTACGCAGACAGATATCCCTGAGGATTCTTGTTGCAGCTTATACTTGTTCAAGCTTCTATATCATCGGGCATCCGAGCTTGGTCTTAGTAATTATAAAAAAAGGGTTGGCTGTAAGTTATTTTGACTCCATAAGGACCATAAAGGGGAAATCTTGCTTGTCACTCCGACTCCTACATCACAGGGCTTCAGCAAGGCAGAAATAGGGTTTTGGACCGCTACGGCTGTGAGATTTTAACCCTAAACCCTGAACTAAGGCTTCGAAGATACCATGGTGTCGAGTTCGTCGTGGCCATGACAAAAAAACATGCTCTTGAAGATTTCTGTAAGGCCATTGATATATCCTCGGAACAGCTACACTCTGTGACTTCTGGGTCTCGGGTTTAGGATTATACTTGAGTGATCTCTTGCGATGACGGTAGGGACTATGTAGAAATCATTGGCCATAAAAGCCTTTGATCCACGCTCTAAAAACAAGCCTCTGAACGAAAAGCCTCAGACAGTCTGTTATATGCTATTCGTGTTCCATGATGTGTTTATGTGCGCGAGATCCTTTCCGGACATGGCTTATCAGTCGCCCCAGGCGCCACCGCCGGGCAATTTACACTTTTGAGCTTAAGAAAATAGACACGCCATAGTAGAAGCCTTACTGAAATGTTTTAAAGATCCCGGATCTCCAGGAAAAAAAACCCACGCTGAGATCATTTGCCGCCTGAAACGTGGTGCAAACATAAGGGGTGTAGAAAGCTCAGAGTTTAGGATTTTTTCCTGCATAAACGGTGTTTAGGGCTTGGGGTGTAGGATGTTTCCGCACATATACAGGTTGTAGGTCAGGGCTCAGGATGTGCATCTTTGGCCTCGCAAGGAAAAAAGAGGGTTTAGAGGGTTTAGGGTTTAGGTCGAAACTGGTGGACCGCACCTTGCCATCCACGATCACGTCCGTCGTGGAGACTGAGAGGTTAATCACAACCATCACAACCACCTGGAAAATCGATCTTGACCCTAAACCTTGTACCATAGCATTTGGAGTCCCGGAGGTGGGTGTCATAGTTTAGGACTATGGTCTTAGAACTTCAGAGTGGGACTCTGCGTCTGAGGTTTTACGATTCGGTTGTGGAGCTCAAGGGGCTTAATGCTGTAAGGCTTTGCAGTGAAACTGTACAATAAAAAAACCTTCGAAGACTTGGATTCACAAATTAAAAGAGGACCTCTTGCGGTTTCAGAGCACTTTCGTGTCTGGCTACAAGCTGAAGGACACAACCGACCGTGGACTCGTTCTAAATAGTTGGTCTAATGTACGACGCCAAAATGGACTTGCAAACAAGACGCGCAATGCCATCCTACTCTTGTGAGGGGCTAGCCAAGAACTGTAAGAGAAGGGCCGTTATAGTTAGAATAGGGCCTAGGGGCACATGGCAAGCGGCTGTAAGGCTGTAAGAGGATAAGTACTACTCAAATGATTTATATGTGCTATTTGTTCGGATAGCACGAGGAGGCACATGGCAAGAGCTCAACCAAGACAGACAACCCCTGAATTCCTGATTTCCCAGCTAGCCGCTAGAGTCTAGGGTTTAGACCTAAATTCTATGGACTCTAGACTCAAGCTGCTTCGGGATCAGTTCGACATTCGTAGGGCTTTGGGGCCTCTGGGGTTCTTCGGGTATGGGGTCTCATCACAGCACCTGTGTCGAGGGTATGGCCCTGCTGCTTCCACGTGCCAGGGGAAAGAAGCCCATAGAAGCCATGAAGCTCAAGTTTGCACCCTTCCATTCCCAAGTTGGCCCGAAGTTGCCCGGAAGTGCTACTGCAAGGAATGACATTCATGGAAAGTTGCAGTTTAGAACAAAGCATCTACAGAGCAACAGAGTTAGAAGACGCCTGGCTCAAGACCCAAGCCAAGGACGGCAGAGGACCTGAAACCACGAGTAGAAGCGATTGGGTATGCCCCACCACCCCATGTCTGCAAGCAATTAGGCGGCACGAGTGCCCGAAGCCGAAAGTTGGTTCCCAAATCGGCGGCCAGAACGCCCCAGCTATTTCTCTCAAGAAGCCCCACCCGACACTGCACAAAGACGCGTGAGGTTTAGAGCTCATTCCTCAAGTCCAAGACAGCCTGATTAACAAACCCTGATTATTGAGCAAGGTGATCATAATCGGGAACCCCATATATTCAGGCCCTCAAAGAGCCAGGGGTCTATTCATCAGGGGTTTACACTAAACTTTGCTTACAATGATACAGTTGAACCAAAGACCATAAGGGATGCGATTTCTAGTTGTTCCCAAACCATCAATTCGAAGTACTCGACGATAAACCGGATTGTTAGTTCGCATTTACACTGCCATTTTGGACGCAGGTCTCAACAGATCATCCCCATTATGGTGGTGTTTCTTGGCACCTACGTCCATAACAGGGGCAGATAGGGACCCTCTAACGTAGGGGCCTGAATTTTTAGAATAGGGTTTTGGGTTCATTATTCTACTACAGTTATAATAAAGAACACCGCCAAAAATGCAATAGGTAATCATTACCCTACATCCTAAACCCTATATTATCCCTGGCTGGGCCACCAGGGCAGCAGCCGGCAGCGCCAAGGTCCCCAGCAAAATGTAGGAGGCGAAGCCCCCGGCTGCCTGCTGTTTCTAGGGCTCACTACAGTTCAGGGCTTCGAGCTTATAGGGCCTAGAGGGTTTAGGGCTTTGGGCTTAGGGTTCAGGGTTTAGGGCTGAGAGGGTTTCGGGTGCACAGGTTGTAGGGTTCCGGGCATCAGGTTACTTCAGTAAAACGTAGAGGGTGTTGTCTCTCACAACTGGGACGGGCCGGGCGAGGCGTCTGAGCAACGATGGTCCATCTAGCAGCAGCCAAACAATCACAGAGGGTTCAGGGTTTGGGGCTTCAGGCCTTAATCTTCGGGTGGAACGTTTCGGTTCCTAGCCCAGCTGAAACGTGCTAGCAGCTGGGGCATTTGGGCTTGGGGTTAATCTATCGACAGCCTCCGAGTTGCCGCCAGCTGGATAAGCCCCTCTGCAGCAAGCAGTCTCATGTAAGGAGTATGTAGGGCCCTGAATAACTAAGAGATGTGCTGCTTGTATTTGTTTGGCTTTCGGGGTGCATATTTTGCTACTGGTCTGTATTGGACTCTCATGCGACACTCTTGCGAAACATTCACAGCGCTACTGCAAATTATGCGTCGGCAAGATGAAGACTCAACGAATCTATAGCCAAACGCTCCCTCAGCAATGGTTTCCGTGGATAGCTGCAAAATGCTTGAGCGGGGGCAATGGCCCAAAACTCATTCATCGGCAGCACCACACCAAGCAGGCACAACTAGTGCAACTCAGCTGCGGCAACGACGATGTAGGATCCTCGCTGAAGCGACAAAGCAGCACGGTCCAAGCACATGAGCACGGTTGCTGCTCCACATGCCTGTCTTCAGCTGCGAAGTGTCGATTTACATAAACGCTCAGGCATCATGTGTCTGTCGAGCTATGCACAAGCCATGCGGCGGCGGTGGTAGCCGCAGATAGCAATACCATCGGACAGCATGCCCATGAAGGGCCTGAGCACCGTTCGTTAGGGGTTTAGGGTTTGGGGATTCGGGTTTAGGTTTAGTTATGTCCTTCTGATGCTCTGACATTGATGGTGGATCCACTGGAACTATGGTGGAGCCACTGAACGCGTGTGTGCACATGCTTTTAATTGAATCCAAGTGGCTTCATGTTCCATGGAAGCCCGGCGGCTGTGTTTAGACGTCCCATGGTAGCACCATCCAGTCCCAACACGTCCTTGCGCAACAACTGGAGTGTCGTGGACAGGTTACAACCCGCATCCTAACCCAAACGCGCTTCACATTTCAAAACACATGGCAATGCATTCAGTGACGTCAAAGGCAATTCACTACAGCACGTGTGGCAGTATTATCGTGGTATAAAGTATAGACGAAGGTAACCAAATAAAGAAGCAACAGCAGAGAGAAAAAAACGCGAAGTGCTTTGCATCACCATAATCATAATTTTTCCCAGAGAAAGCCAGTCACCATCATCTTCATGATCCTCATGGTCGTCCTCCACCACCGTCGGTATTTCCCATATGTATTTCGCAGAACCACCAGCAACACATTTAGGCTGGGCCTTTGCGGGTTTAGCAGTCCATTCAGGGATAAGTGGTAAGAACCACATGAAAGCAGTCTCTCATATTTCAACCGTATGCTTGATCTGCCCCTGTAGTGCACACATGTTCCGCGCTTCTTTCTCAAGTAGGCATCTAGCTCCGGATCCTGACATTCTCAAGGAGCCCCTATATTAGACCCCTAAATTCCCCTCCGCCCCCTAATTCCCTGATCTCTGACAGCTCTAGCCTCCGCCTGTATGAGCTACGGTCCACTGTTTGTTGAGGCACCAAGACTGCTTGAGGCTCGGGATAAATCTGAGGCAGCTCGTTCTTCTCTTGCTAAGGAAGGGACCGCTCGCGAATCTAGCTGTCCCCACAGGTACGTCGTATGCTTAGGCTTAGGATTTGCAAGGGTTCATACTCTAAGCCAATGTTTTTTCTCTGTACGAAAGTTTGCACACAGAACCTCCTGCACTTATGCCCCAAACCCTAAGCACACTCTTTTAGGTAAGTGGAACCGTAGGGAGTGCCAAACTACATAAGCAAGAAATGCCAATGCTCTGAAACTTCAACGTGGTCTCTGAACCCAGGGACGGGTTTAGGGTATGCCTAAGGTTCCGGGCTTCAGGTTTCCGGTTTAGACTCAGGCTTAGGGTTCAGAACTCAAAGCGTTAGGATTTCGGCTTTGGGTGGAATGCTCCAGATTTCCGGCAAGTTCAGATTGAGGTTTTTCACCCGCAAGGTTGCGGCAGTGAGGATCCACTGCTTCCCGAAATCACAAACGAGGCTCTTTCATGTAGAAGCGAATGGCGAAGCCCCCTATGGCCCATGCAACGCTCTGGTTGACGCCGTAGGTTAGCACTGCAAATGGGATGAAGTTGCCAAAGGCTGCCTGCCAGGCAGGTATTATAGCAGCCTTGATTACATAGGTTGGGGACTGTGAGGGGGTATCATTACCAAATATTCCGACCCGTGTTGCAACCGCCTGAACACCCAGAGGTTGGTGTTAGGTCAATGCTCAACACCCTGATCCACCAGCCGTACTCGGAGCATTGAGACTTGCAGAAGGACATGCACCCTTAGTAGCCCCAAGCCCAACAAATTAAATCGACAATCACAAAGAAATGGAAACATTATAGGCCGGTCCATAGCTGCCCTCTAGCTAGTCAGCTTAAACATGTGGGACCTTCCGTCTCTAATGGACTCAATCTTACAGTAACTGTTATTGAAGCTATTTTCGAAGCTCACACTCGGACAAAGCCAGGCAGTTAATGTTACTATGTCATACTACTAGCCTAAGTAGTTTCATTGATGTTAGTACTACTACTGCTACTACTTCTACTGCTGCTGCTACTACTTACTGCTGCCAACGACTACTACCACCACGACGACGACGAGCACGACATGTACTAGTATCGCTGTTGTTATCAATACTATTCGGTTTATAGCGAGCCGGTTATTAACATTAATTATCAGTATTGCTAATCGTGCTTTATTACTCTTAAAATGTTAATACTGCTGGTGTTTAGGCACAGTATTGGAACTACTGATATTACAAAGGATCCATGCTCCAGTTCAAGCGTTGCTATGACTTGTAGATTCCAACCGTGTCGTAACTTAAGGACTTCAAGGTCAAGTCCGGGTTTCGGTTCACGTAGTAGTCGTAGCATAAGCCAGGAGATGCATGTGTAAATCAGGGTGTAGGATGACTAGAAGTTTCAGGCAACCCGAGACTTTACACATCAGGGTTTAGGGGTTTAGGGTTTAGGGCAAGCTCGTGTTTTTATCGGCCCATCACTCGATGAGATGAGGTACGTAGAGCTCGCGAAGCCAGTGCCAAAAGCATCTCCGCTGTGCCTGACTTCAGGGCTGCACGTTGCGAGTTTTCTAATTTCCCGAATCCACTTGTCAGGTGTACCTGCGCATCAATGCGATTATCGGGTTAAGACAGGACGCTGCCGAAAACTTCACAGTAGGATTCAGTACCTTAAACTTAAACCCCAAGCCCAGCCAAACTAAACATCGAGGCTTATCTTCCGTGCTACCGGGTCCTAGGAAGGCAACAGCTGCGTCTGGATCAAGTGACATATGCTGAAAGCCCATGCATATTTTCTGTGGTCTCAGGGTTCAGGGGAATTAGGGGCTTACGGCTTCATATACGTAATCGGTATGACTTCGCCGCAATTTAATAGGACAGACCCGGTAGCCACGACTTTCTGGATCCCTGCGTATCTCAGCACTGGAGTGTGGTGCAGTCATCGGACGGCTAGTGGCAAGCCGTGCTGGACTCTAAAGCAGGCATCAGGCTTCATTTCTCTGAAAAAGAGGTGCCTTAAACTACCATAACCTACTTTGTTTGCAGTTTCCAAGCATAAAGCCCTCATCTAGGCTAAATCTTCAACATGGCTACTGTCTAGGGAAGACTTTGCATGTGAGGGTTTAGGTATAGGCAAAATCCAAACGGAACAAGACCTACACCCTAAACCCTCTTAGGGTTCCCTTTTCTGGGCACCTTCTCTGCAACTGGACTTTCTTTCGTTGGCTCCTCCTCTTCCAGCTCGATGCTGGCCTCGACAAGAAACTCTCCGTGATTTGCCTAAGCCGACCTGCAGCCCCCAACCCTGTTGAAAGCCTATAGGCCAGCAGTAGCCCAGGCTTCATGGACATGTGTCGTCACAGAAACTAGTCGAAGACAGAGGTACCAGGAGGTTGAAGGTGATGGGCCCCCAAACACCCGAAAAGCCGTAGCCCTTTCCCGGGACATGTTGGAATCAACTTCGACGGACTCGACATCCTGGACTACACTCCGAGGTTGGCTGGCTACAGAATACAGATGCTACAGGTCTCAAGCAAGGAGCCAACCGGAATCTGCTACTGATGACTCTGCACCTCTCTTCGATCACTGTGGTGCCAGGCTAAAACATCCAAACGCCCAGGGGCCGTGTCCGTTGTGGAGACAGTTCCGCCACTCTTTGTCCTTGGAAACCGGGTGTTTGCCGGGAGCTAGTCTAAGCCCTGCTTGGAAGGACGTGCTGGGCTCGCCTAGACGTAAGGTTACCACCCCTAACCCTAAGAACCCTAACTTTCAAGCCTCCCACACTGTGAAGCACCACCCTCAAGCAACGCCTTACAGGGTAAACTCGAAACCGGGACACTCGGGACTCAATGATTCGACTTGGGTTTTAGGGCATCCTCTACTATAACCACCATAGGGAAGCCTCGGGAGCACTATGCCCAAAACCGGAAAAGCAACCCTAAACCCTAAACTAAGGCATAGGCCGCCCCACCTATGTGGTGAGTGGGCGGCGTTTAAGCCCCTTTGCAAGCCGTCGCGAAAGGCCAATCAGTACGCCAGCACCCACCTCGTACCCGGTACCGGAACACATTTGTCCCTGGTCCCTTATTGAAGTCATTACCCTGATGCCCTGCCGCTCGGCCTGCCGCCCCCTGCCCTGCCTTGCCCTGGTCTGTTCGGCCTTGCCCTACCTGCTCCTCTCTGAAACAAGGCCGCCTTCGACGGCGAGGGGTGGGAGAGATAGAAGGAAGAGCCTTCTATAGACAGGCTTTGACAGCTTCCAGAAATCATGAATTGAGGAAAGCCTCGGAACTCTTTCGCACAGCTTTGGAGAGCCAGATTGCTGATCCATGGCGCCGGTTTGCCTGAAAGAGGTTCTGTTTAGGGTTTAGGGTTGGGGCTTGGGGTTTAGGGTTTTTTCTTAAAGGATCCATGTACCTATCTAGCATGCACTTAGGCCTTACAGGGGTTCCGATATACTGAGGCACCTGAAGGCAAGCAAATGCGAACCCTGAACCCCTAAATGCCCAAACCGCTAGATTGGATAACTGGCTGCGGCTCCTGCCCAGTCTTCATCCAAGGTCTGGGAACCTAGCCGTGTCTAGAGAAAAGAAGACCTGTCAGTTGCCCCCCCTTCAAAAAATATTGAAACACATGCGCACTGAAGGGTTCCTCAGCATAGTTTAGCACCGCCATCTCAGAGTGCAACACGACAAAGCATAAGCCTTTCCTACTCTCTACGTCCGCACTACTACAATAGACCAACAGCCGCAACAAAGAGGCCCCGCCTGGCTCGCACTACAATGTTGCAGGGATGGCACAAATCTGCTTGAGTTTGTGGCGCCCTGCGGTAGGAAAGGCTCGGCCGGCTGTTCAAATTTCTGAACATGTACTGTAGGGGCCCTAATAACTAGGACAAAGCCCATACACAGTAAATGCAATAAGGACTGCAAGATAATACAAGTACTAAGTATTCGCAACCATATGGCCATGTAGTACAACTGCCCTGTGTAAAATTGCAACTCTAAACCGGTGGTAGCTGGCTAGTGTTGCTAATGGTGGCTACTCCTCTAAACCCTGAACCCTAAAAACCCCTAAATCCTCTGGCCCGCCCGTGTTTCGCATGAACACGAAAACCGAGTGCAGATATGGATGCAGCGGCTCGGGAGCTGATCTTTAGGGGTCTCGATGGTTAGAATAGGGTTTGGGGCACGGTACATTACAATCTAAATACAGGTAAGGAACCCCAAAATATAGTATTTGTAGTTATTTAGCCCCTCATTGTAGAGCAATGACCAACAACGGTCGCAAGCAGACCTTGAAGGACTCGTGTACATATCTTCGGGAGCTTCAGCCTGCGTTATCCCCTGCCATACCCTCGACTCCAACCTACGACCCTAGGGCTCCAGTTACCTAAATAGTAGGTTACTGGGGTACATAATATAGGGTTAGTAACCTACTATTTAGGTAACTGGAGCCCTTGGGCGAGTTATGCTGCCTTCGCTGGCGTTTTTGTCACCATCTTGCGTCTGTCAGGACAGCAGAGGGTGGGGGGATTCCGGGTGCTCGGGAGTGCTTTGGGAAGGCTACATCCGGTCAGCTGTCGACGCTGCAGTCCGCCGGCAGGTTGTCCTGTGGAGCAACTCAGAAAGTCTCAGCTTCGGGTTTTGGGCTTTGGGGTTTAGGGTTCAGAGGTTAAGGGGTTTAGGGGTTTGGGGTTTCGGGGTTTAGGGTTTAGGGGTTAGCTCTGATGTGTGGGTCTTGCTTGAGCTGCGGTTGCCTGTAGCATGACTGGTCTCTCGTTGAGATTCGCTCTCGTGCCCTCTCGTACCCTGTGCCTGTCTCCTCACACCCTCACACGTAGGGGAAGAAGCATACAAAGGAGCCCAAACCGTACGGCTCAGAGTTCCTACAATGCCCACTTGTCCTTCTTGGCAGGAAGTGGGACCGGATCGTTCGGGGTGAGCTGGCGGGGTATCAGGAGGAAGATCAAAGGAATCGGCAGCAGTCTGCACAACGCTTTCGTCACGAGGCCGTGCACTAGGTAGTCAAAGTTCCCGTCCACGATGCCCCAAAGCTCACAGAGGCTGACTCCAAGGAATTTGCCAATGTCGACACCTCAACTTAGCGATAGTGCTCGCAAGTTTTCTCTGGTGACTAATACGACGAAGCACAATTGACATAGTGATAATAGCAGCAGCAGCAGCAGCAGCAGCAGCAGCAGCAGCAGCAAACAAAAAGTCTTAACAAAGACGTGCTTGCCGCACGAATAATTAGAGGCCAAGGATTCTACCACCCAGGGTCGAAAATGTGACGCGTCACCTTGCCAACCTTGCACGCCTTGAATTTCGATTACCTGAACCTTATCCCGGAAAAAGGCAGCTCCGGACATGTCTCGGAGAGAGGGCAGCAGTGTTTCGGAATCTTGGGGTTTAGGGCACATCTTCATGCCTCCCCCCGACAGGCACTGCTTTCCGCAATTACCGTCGAAGGCGATCTTCTCTGTTCTTGTGCGACTGGCGTCTCGATTCAAACACCGGTACCGGCACAGGACTTTTAGGGTTTTGGCGAGGCTGCAGAGAAGCGGCTCATGCCCACCCGAACCCCCCAAACAGGATTGTGCTATGCTAGCGCGGGACCGATGTTGTTCAAGGCCATCAGCGTGGCAAACAGCGTGGCCTGAAGGTCTTCGCACGGCTGTCGCTACCGGGTAAAGTTGGAGCACTTAGAGTTTACACCAGGAGGATCCCATGATTTATAACGCCCATCCCTAGGATGTTGTGATGTTGTGGTCTTTGCTTGTTGGACTTATCTGCGGAATCTGATGATTCTGGCTCTGTTCTGGCTTCAGGACTTCTTTGGGGAATGCGACGGCACCTTCTTGTATGGCTGCTATAATTGCTACCCTAAGCAACCCGTCCTGCGTGTAGACGGGATGCCAATAAAGCAACTAAGCTTCGGACCAATTAAGCAACTCCCTCTTCACTGCACCTCTGCAGTGAGCGCACCCCCCCCATCCCCTCCCCCACCCGCCCCACCCCCACTCGACCCTACAGCCCCACTGTGGGTCACACCTTATATATGGTTAGGACACTCTCTTGTCAACCCGAAACCCTAAACCCTTAAACCACAAAAAACCTGAACCCTAAACCCCAAACTATCTGACCGACTGAGGCACAAAGCCTTCCCTCCGGCCTTTCCGAGGCCCGAAAGCTCCAAACCCTGAACCCTAAATTACTAAACCCTCAACCCTGTTGCATCCAGGCCTACTGTAACCCATTTTTGAGCACGGACTGCAATGCACTAAGCCCTGAATCCCTTCAGCCAAGCTTGGAACCCTAAACTACTAAACCCTAAACCCCTAAACCCTGAAACGAGTTTCCGGAGTCAGAGGTTTCTTTGTGTTTCTGGCTGAGGGACTTAGGGTGGTAGGGGTTCTGGGTTATAGGATTTCAAAAAGTTTGGGGTTTTTGGCAGCGCAATCACTCTCAGCTGCAGTTTTGGGTTGAGGGTTAAACCCTAAACCCTAAACCCTTTTAAAGTTTAGGTCCCCGAGGCTTCTTCAGAGTTGAGTGGTTTGTAGTCCGCCGTTTCACGGCTGCAGCGGTTGACTGTTTGCCAAAATTAAAAGGAGTCGTTTAGGGTTCAGGATTTAGGGTTTTGGGAAGACAGCCGGCGCCTCTAAATTCAGCGGGCACACCTTGTATGCCAGAACCTCATCACATCACGGATTTGGAGGAGTCGTGGCTCGTGGTTCTGGAGTTTAGAGTGTAGTGGGTTCTTGAGTCTAAACCCTTTTTCAGCAAGGCTTGGGGTGTGTGCCGGCAAGCTGGAATCTTATGGTCTTCAGAAGACAACAGCAAACTTGAAACTGATTCTATAGACCTGAGCCCAGAGGGCTTGTAGCCTAAGCCTGTTGGACTTCCGCATGCCTGCTGAAACACTGTGTCCATTGCGGTTCTGGTACTTTGCACTTCCTGAAGACAACCTTCCTGATGCCCGTTTACCCCAAACCCTTCACGTCCAAACCCTAAACCCCAAACCCTTGTTACCTCTCAAGCCGTCCCCCTGAAGGATCTTCCAGTACTGGCCAAAAGCTTGGAGATCGACTCTAACCCCTAACCTTAAACCCTAAACTACACCCTAAACTACACCCTAAACCCTAAACTAAACCCTAAACCCTAAACCTTATAAGCCCTAAACTAAACCCTAAACCCCAAACCCTAAACCCCACAACACAAGAGACACCCAAGGCCGGCTCCCGGAGCCACCAAGAAAGACCCCAACTTCTCCTATACGGGTCCTATATGGGTGGTTGTCAAAATTATGGTCCCCTTTTGGGTCCTTATTATAATACGGCACTTATTATTTAGGGTACCCCAAAAGGGACCCTAATTTTGACAACCACCCATATAGCCCACGGAAAGACAAAAAAGCTGAGGTAAGTGAGTTTCAGAGACCTGAGGACCCTTTTACAAACAACCAAACACAGACAATGTTTTCAATACTGCCTTGTTTGGTTTTCAAAAAACACATACACTATTTTACAATAATGCTTTGAGAAGACTAGAAAAACAACTTTACAAGACGAGACAGATCCAAGGGGCCACCAAAGGCACATAGAACAGTTTGGAAACAGCGAGGTCGAAAGCCGTGTCACCGACGTAAAACCTGAGATGGACATCCCAAGGGCTCCAGTTACCTAAATAGTAGGTTACTAACCCTATATTATGTACCCCAGTAACCTACTATTTAGGTAATTGGAGCCCTTGGGCATCCTAATGGAAAGCTGGGTTTAGGGTTTAGGGTTTAGGGTTTAGGTATGGGCGC